GGAAGTAGACAGTTGCTCTCAAGGCTCTGAGATCTTCTCTGTGGCTGGTCCACCTGTTGCACTACTGGGGGATTATCTGTTGTCACATGACACACTGGCCCTGGGAGGTGATGACCTTACAGACAGAATCTAGAACTTCCATCTTGGATAGTAGACAGTGACTTCTTTGGAATGGTAGTTCTGTGATAGAGGGTCTCACTATGTATCTCTGGCTGTCCTGGAACTTGCTATGTAGACCAGCCTGGCCTTGGACTCCCAAGATCCACCTAAAGGTATGAGCCACCATGTCCAGCTCAGGTTCTTTTGTGATCCTTGAAACACAAGTGATATTTCAGTCTAAAATGTAGTCTTGGAGCCACTGAACATACTTTCATACATGACAATATTTGAATGTCTAGACTTATACAGGGACGATATCCATTCAGAGACAACTTGAAGCGGCCGTTCTAGACTCTCCAAGCCAGAGATGGCTGACTGTGCACCCATAGCTCACTACTGGCTTGTATCTATGTTCAAATGGCTCGAAAATGAAGACCACACTGTTTTAATTGATGAATTAATTTCTTATTTTTGAGTTTTATTATTTTTAAATGATTTAAGAAATCAAGAGAGATCTTCTGGGGAACTGGCATGCATGTCAGGTGGCTCAAGATTCCAGGGACCTGAGCTTCTCCTCTGACCTCCATGCCTGCACTCATGTGCTCATAACCCACAGACTCACACATAGGCATACAATTAAAAAATAAAATAAGTCTAAAAAGAAAAAAAAGGAAGTGTAGTATCCCCAGATACAGAAAGTTCAGATAGCAGTGTCCTCTAAATACAGTTTATCTGAGTGTGTACAGCCATAACATGACATGACGTGTCGTAGCATGACAGCATAAGTAATATAGCGTAACGTAACATATCTATGCTTTGCCTGGGGCTGTTTCAAGTTACAATGGCAAGCATGGCCATGGACCACAGAGCCAGAGATATTAACTATGTGACAAGCCCTGCCCTGAATAAATAAGAGGGTAGGGGGCAATCCCTACTCGCTTGTCCATCTGTGGGACTGGTAGATGAAAGGAGGTACCAGGAAGCCTTGCTGGTGTTTAATTAAGGATGTGAATTTTCCCGGCAACTTTGTTACCATTGTCATTGTGCTTTGAGTCCTTCTGTTTGTTTAGGAACAAGTACCAATGTCCCAGTAGCAGCAATAAAGTAACAGGTTACGATGGTGTGGTCCTGGTAGCAGCTATAAAGTAACCAATGATGTGGTCCTGGTAGCAGCTATAACGTAACAGGTTCCGATGGTGTGGATCTGGCCGGCTGGTCCAATGAGGCTCTGGCAGCTCTGAAAGCTTCTATTTAGAAGCCCTTCCCTAGGTCCTTTTGCCTTTTTCCTTTTGTTGGAGGAAATCGAAGAAGGAGAGGCTTGTGTGTGTGTGTGTGTGTGTGTGTGTGTGTGTGTGTGTGTACACTTCTGTGTGTGCATTTGTATGCTTGTGTGTGTGTATACATGTGGAGATTAGTGGTCAATCACTCTCCACATGGTTGTTGTTTTGAGACAGGGTCTGAACCAAACTTGGGGTTAGACTGTCTGGCCAATGTGACCAGGGGTGGGGTCCTGTCCTCTCCTGCACTCATTTTGCAGGTGTGCCCTGCTTTTGAAGTTCATGGGACTAGTGAGCGCATTGCTGGCTGAGTCATCTCCAGGGCTCTTCCTTTTTGTTGACAATTCAGCAGGCTTTTGAGCTCTGATTCCTTTCAAACCCTTGGCATTGTATATATACTGTGAGTCTTGGCCCACGGGTCCAGTGCTTAGCCTCGCCTACTAGAGCCATAGCATAAAATATGATTTGGAGAAGGGCCTAATGGGGAAAGATCAGAACATTATTATTAAACAGAAGATGAAATGCTTAAGCCAAGATGGCGTTATTATTATTAATTATTATTATTTTTGACTAAACGAAAACCGAGCAGACCCCTTTTCAACAGTTTTCAATGCAGGAATTCCCTGGGCCCATTTGATTGCCCTTTGTTGAAAAGTTTAATGTTTCCATAGGCAATTCCTAATTTCCATGTGGAGCAGCTCGAGAGGAAGCGAACGGGAGCCCAGTGTTGTTTTTCTTGTAGGATGGTGGAGATATTTCTTTTCCCCCAAGCAGCGGAACTTTTGGGCAAACAAGGGTGTTCAACCCTTCTGTGAGTCTGGGACTCCATTTCACCTCTTCCTTCAGCAGAATAGAATTTCTCACGGCTTAATGTCTCCAGGAAGGAAGAGATTTTCCTTTAGGCTGTAATTGTACCTAATTTCCCTCTTCCCTTTATTTATTTATTTTCCCCATTAATCAGGACCAAGGGTGGAAGATGAAGGGACTGGGCAGCGTCACTTTTGGAAGAAGTTAATAACTTCTTTTAAAATACCCCCCCCCACACACACACACAATGCTTGCTTTCCCAGGAGAACCCTGTCATCCAGCATGCTGGCTAAGCTCTGGGAGTGAGAGTGGATTTGTGGGTGCCTAGCTGTTCAGGGGAATCAGGTTGCACCCAAATTGGGCATTTGAGGCTGTCATTGAGGAGTCCCTACCAGTCGGCAGGGCCGGAGCTGTCCTTCACCATCTGGATTTGGTTAGCTCTCCCCGGGCAGCAGGGGTGACTCTCATTTCCTCTGACCAGTAATGTTATATAGGCAGCGGTCCTGGGCTGCCCTGACATAATTGAAAATTATGTGTATTGTAGGCTCAGAGCGCTGAAATGTAGGCTCATAAAAATATGTGGGGCAGGTAGCCTATGGAGACTGGAGCACAATGAGGCTTTTATGTACACTGAGAATTACAAGTCTCTGAGTTGATACTGCATTCTGAGTGTGACAGGACAGTTCTTGGGTGGGTTCCTTGCGGCAAGTCTGTCACCTTAAACCAAGCCTAGATGTTCTAATTCAATAGAGCTGGCACCAGGATGCAATCAGATCTGCTTTACAGATGGTCAAAGATGAAAACCTGTCCACTCATCGAGCCCCCACCCCCTGTTGGAGCATAGCAGGAGGTGTGGGTGTGTCTGTTCAGTTTTGCAGTTTTGTCTGTGGGTTCTTGGGAGATGGAGAGGCAGTGCTGGCCAGTGTTCATTTTTGGTTGGCCTCAAGGAAATGACTCTATTGAGTGGTTTTGACCGATGCAGCCCCTGTAGTTATGTGGCAAGTGTGAATGGGAAGAAGTCAGGGCAAAATAGATTCCCAGAGTCTTCTGGCTAGGAGGCAGGGCTGAGGCTACCTTGGAAATTCTGTTTTCAGTGGTTTTAAACTTAGGGTTGTCTTGGCTCCAGTTTGGAAGTGACTTGGTTGTAAGGATGAATGGGAGGGTCTTCCTAGGATTCAGTGGACTCATAATGTCCTTCAATATTTGGGCAGACCTATTCTTCTGTCACAGACACGGCAACCCTTTCAGTTAATAGATGGCAGCTAGAGGTCGGTTGAAACAGATTTGGTGGAAGATTGTGTCAGGTGCAATCTTTACCACAGGGGCTTCTTGGTTAAAAACCTCAAGCTGCCGAAGATGAAGCCACCATGTGTGGATCCGGGCAGGAGAGGCAGATAGTGTACCTGTGCAGGCAGCTGGGGGCTCCGGTCATTCGTGTTAGGTGTAAGCACATTTGGTTTTCATTTACCACCCAGGCATGTCTTTGAGCAGAGCACACTTGTTTGCAGACACCTTTGACCTCTCGGTTACCACATGGAGTTTGAGCAGAGCCTCTTCCTGGACATTCCTTTGCTGTCTTTTCTTTCTGCAGAGATCTTAAAGACTTAGCTACATCTACTTGTTTTGTTTTGTTTTGTTTTTTTCCCCCAGAAATGCTGACATCTTTCTTGGCATTACCTGGGCATGGCTGCCAAACTTCTGCTTCGACCTGGGTGTATGTGTGCTAGTTGCCTCACAAGTATGAGTTTCCCAAGGGCAGACATTCCGTGTGCTTCCTTACTGTTAGCTAGATGAACAGGCACACAGCAAGTTTCCATAATGTTCACTGACTCAAAATTCAGGGGCTCAGTAGGCTAAAGTATTTGCCTCCAAGTCTTTGAGTCTCTGGAATGATGAAGGCTGTTCTTCCTATGCCCTCTAAGCATTACCGATATGCTCAGTCACATGACGGTTACAATTGTAAAGGCTGTCACTGATGTCCTCACAAGCATCCTGCCCAACTTCCTTGGTGACACTGTGATTACCCAGGAAAGCCCTTAGGGTATTCAGGGTATCTCTGTCCCCAGCACACTGCTCTGCCTCAGTTTCCCTGTCGGTAAGAATGAAGGAGGAGTTAGGTCAACTGGTGTCTCACAGCTGCTCCGTCGATTTCAATGGAAGTAGCAACTTTTGTGTCACCTCCTGCTCCAGAGAAAGGCAGGGAAGGGTGCATCGACTCACTCTTATTTTTCTCTCATGCTAATCCTGCCCACATTTAAGCATCATACCTTTCCTTTGAAATGACTGTTAAAATTGCGTTGTGCCCTGGGTGTGCCTTGAGCTTTGGGGTCCGTTGAGGAATTCTGTGAGTGTCCTGTGAGTGCCCTGTGTTGTATAAAGAAGTGAAGGAGGTTGGTGTTTTCAAGGGGAAGGCTGCTGCAAGCTCAGGTTTGGTCTAGGCGGTCTTCTAGGACTTCTCTGGCTGAAGTTGTGTGTTGGCTTTCTGTCTTTGTTCCCTCTTTTCTCCCCTGTATCCCTCTCCCCTCCATTGGTCCCCTTATTCCCTCCATAACTCCTCTCTGAACCCCTTTACCATCATCACCCCATAATGTACGCTGCAAAGAGAAGACTGTGCTTGTTAGTAATATTAATTTCCTTCCTTCCTTCCTTCTTTCCTTCCTTCCTTCCTTCCTTTCTTCCTTCCTTCTCTCCCTCCTTCCCTCCTTCCTTCCTCTCTTTCTTTTTTACTTTCTGATGTAAAGAATGCACAATGCTTGTTTCTGAGGTGGATAGCTTGCATCCTCTCCTTCCCTGAATTAATTGTTTCCTTTTTTCCAGTATCTTCAAATGAAATGGCCACTGCTCGATGTCCAAGCAGGAAGCCTCCAGAGCCGACAAGCCCTCAAGGATGCCCGCTCACCATCGCCTGCCCACATCGTAGTAAGTGTCTCTCAGTGACACTCACCCCCTTGATGGGGGCAGAGAGTAGATGCTATCCTTTTTTTCTTTTGATGATGAAATCTTGTATTTGTCAGTTCTTTAAAAATGTTTCTCTGGAGACTAGCTTTGGATATGGTCTGTGTGACAAGCTATTCCTCTCCCCGTGACGGTACCACAGCAAATGTCACGAGGAAGTTTCCCGGGCCCTTCCTTCACCTTCTGTGCTCTGTGTTTTGGGTTAGAAGCTAGACTCATGGGCGTCTGTTAATAGGATACATCCTTCCTGTTTCGGGAGGAAACTAGATATGGTACTGAAGCACTTGTTTAGAAAAAAATGCATTTTTAGGGGAATCAAGGTTGAAAGGAGGATGAGAAAAAAGGGATTACTTGGTCTGAAATTTCCCACCCACCCTGTTTATCTTGATATGTGCTAGAAAGTAACACTTTACATGAAGATTGGCAAACTTGATCTGAGCTGGCTGACTGCAAACTAGAGTAGAAGTGAACATAGATAGGCTCAAATTAAACTTAATTTGTGTACCCACAGCTTTGAAAGTATGTGGGCTGCACACAGAAAACATTTGTTTTTACTGAGACTACAGTATCAAGTGTGTGTCAACATATATTTTTAATGCACTCTCCTAGAGTATCGTAGGCTCTGAAAGTCTATAAATTAGCCTCCTGAGAAGGTAGCTCAGCCTTATTAGAATATCTATTTCTTTCTATATATTTATATCATGAGCTGGACTTCAGACTTTTGAAATAATTAATGAAAGACATATTTTTATAATGAATTCATGACAGGTAGAATTATGCAAAGCAGGAGATAATTCATACATTTTTTATTTACGCTATCACAAAATGTTACCCATTAGTCTGTTTGGCCTCTACATTACTCAGAATCTCTAAAAATTGCAAAATAATTTAAAGTAGAAAAACCTTAAGATGCATATTATCAAATTGCAGGCCATCTCCTGATTTGGTAGCTTGGTATAATTGATTATATATTATTTAGTGAGCTAGGCCTCAGTTGTATGTGTGTATATCAGAACATAATTTATTTCTGTAAAACCACATTTGGAACCTTGATTGGTGGAAATGTCTTAACTTCTCATGGTATAAGTAAGGGGTGTAGGAAGAAGGCTGATAGATGCTAGAAGTTTCTCCCTTCTTCCAGCCCCACAATTAAATGGATGTCAAGATGAGGGCTGGAGGTGATAACCTTAGACCATTTTAGGCCCAGTCTGGTTTCAGGAAAGGAACTGAGTGAGCTCCAGAGATGCCTTAAGCGAATTGCCCAATGTCACACACCGAGGTAGCGGCTGGAGCAATGACTGCATCCGGCTCTTTGCACCCTTTTGGGACCCTCTAGTAGATCCTTTTCTGTGAGAGGTGAGAGCAGTGCTCGTGGCCGACTCTGGTGTTTACTGCAACAGGCCAGCCATCAGGACAGTGACAGGGGTGAGGTGTGAAGAAGTTGCTGGCATGGGTGCTGATTCGTGTTTCTCTGGAAAATCAAATGCCATGTTAAAAAAAATCTTAACACACGGTTCTCGGGTCCTAGAGTGATGGGAGCAAGGTTCACATTTTCCTGTGCCAGTGCATTGCCAACATCTGCCCAGACTTTGAGATTTATCTCCCCCCACCCCCAAGCTCTACCTGGAAGTTTCCCCACATCTTGCCCACAGAGAAGGTAGCTGTCTTTGCAAACTTAACACAGTTCAGAGCCTGCACAGCTGTGGTGGTGAAGGGTCATGGGCCATAGCAACACTAAGCATGACCCTCACGCAAATGTGAGTTGTCACAATTGTCCCCTCTTGTCCTGCATAAATACCACAAGAACAGCTGCCACAGCTGGGGTCGTCAGGGTCTTATTTTCTTGTGTGGAGATGGACAGTCTGTAGATGGTGGGAAAACAGTGTTTGGAGACCCAGTGTGGATCTTGGAAAGGGGCTCAGAGGGGAGACTGAGGCTCCTTTTTTTCCCCTCACTGTTTTCTGGAAGACATGTCCCACAGAAGTCACAGGAGTATCCATGCTGCCTTCAGGGTGGGCAGCTTTGTCCATGGGAGCCATAGCTGGCAGCAGTGGTCACACAATTGTGTTTGCTGACTGCTGAGCCCTTAGGTTCCTGAGGACTAGCTGTCTGGTAGAGATTGTAGCTTGTGGAGAAAGGTGGGCCCTGGTAGCTGAGGAGAAGGGAAAAAGCTTTAAGTTTGGGCAAAAGGAGACCACCTTTGGAAAATGCTTAATTATCTTCTCATTAGGTGTAGAGCTCTGTGTCAATCTAAACCACCTATACCACAGTGGGCACAGTGTCTGAGTCAGCCCTATGGCTCATGCATCATTTGGGTTTCTGTACAGCTTCACACTGGCCGGAGGGGTTTGTGTTTGTGTCCAGATTTGGTCGTGGATGGCCAGCTTCCCTCCTTACCCTTGGTGTTTTCATTCTGTTAAACAAAATGTTGACATCAGAGGCCATCACCAGACGTGTTTCAAAATAGCCTTCTATGGATTGTTTCCTAATTTCTTTGAAATGGGGATTATTGTAACTTGTGGGCCAAGCTGTTTCCACATTACTTCAGATGTTTCACTGTAAAAATAGAGAAGTGTTGGGGTTCGTTGTCAATCACTGGAAGTAATGACTGTCACAGATTGCTCAGAAAATGCCGTTCGCCAGGACCTCCACCTGCAAGACAATCTGCACCTGGGAATTTAAAGCACTTTCCCCTAATATATTAATTTAGTTGAGTTTTTTTCCCATGTGGTAGGAGGTCTCCATGCCATAGGAAGTTGATGTATGTGGGGCTGCAGAGATGGCTTGGAAGTTAAGAGCATTCATTCGCTGGTCTTTCAGAGGACCAGAGCCTGGTATTCCAGGGTCCACACTAGGTGTCTTTTAGTTGCCTAAAACTCTAGCTCCAAGAGGTCTGATACCCACTTCTGGCCTCCATGGACATCTGCATACATACTTTACACTCTCTCTCTCTCTCTCTCTCTCTCTCTCTCTCTCTCTCTCTCTCTCTCTCTCCGACAACAACAATAAACAGCTTTAAAAAGTTGATGTTCGGAATACATGTTAATGCTAGGATACACACCTAACAACATGTGTTCATTCATTCAGTGCGAAGACACCATCCCTAGGGGTGTCTTGATTGGCTGGCCAAAAACTGACCATTCCTGTGAGGAACCAGTCCTTGCCACCCTCTTTCTCCTTCCCACCCTGCACCACTACTCAACCCTGGCTTTTCAAGGCCTCAAAATTGCCAAGAAACCCATTCTCTCCAATTCCGTTTTCTAATTTGTTCCATTTTACTCTCTCTCTCTGGCATTTCTGAAATTTATATTGTAATTCTTCTTTTTCTTTTCACAAGTTGAAGGAGGAACTGCAGGGCTCTGCTGGGTGGTAGTGTCTCATGCAAGGTTTGTACAGAGCCTCCAGCTGCTGATAAGCTGTGGGGTTAGGACTTGCTCCCTGGGTACCACCCCCGGTGCCTTTGCTGTACAAAGACCTTCATTTAACTTCCTTTGTACCCACAAAAAGGAAAAAAAGAAGGAAAAGAAAAAAAAAAGATTCTAGACCCAAAATGGTGGTATTTTGGTAATAGCATGTGTCTTACAACCCAGTAAAAAGGCTTCAAAAGTTTTTACAATTTTATCTCGGGGGTTTCCTTTTGAAGTCTGTGTGGAGTTTTACCTTGGGGTGGATTCTTCCTGTTTCTCTGTCTTGGGTGTTTTGTTGTGTAATGAGCATCGAGGAGTGGGGTGGGAGAGCAGACTGAATCCCAGCAAAGAAAGCCTGCCAGACAGTCGTGATGCACATTTTTATTTAATTGCTTAAATGTTGATCGCAAGTGGAGACCTTACGAGACGCAGCATAGCCAGTAGGACTCCACACAGGGCCTCTGTCCTCTGTGCTGTACACATTTCCACGGGACACAGGGCTCAAGGAACTGGGAGCTTTTGTTCCTATAGAATCTAGGAGAATCTACTCATCGTTAATTAAAAAATGACCTCAAGAACATTCTCTTTGCAGTTAAACACATGTGAAAGCATCTAACCCCCTCACCCCCATGTTCCCTTGTTTATGGGATTGACTAAATGCCAGAAGGCTCTGTGATAGAAAGATGTCAAGGATGACAAAAAATTGTGATGCGTGCCTGGGAGGATGACAGGGCCCCTGTGGGTGTGACCAGGGGAACCTGTTTGTGACTGAGAAGTTGGTCGGGATTATGTTCCTGGACGTTTAAGATGGTTAATGGATGCAATGGGATAGGAGGGGTGACTTCTCGTGTTCTGTAGCATGGTAGACTAACGACAGCGACAATTGACATCGTTTAATTGGGTATTTAAAAATAGCTAGTCTAGAAGATTCTAAATGTCCTTGTCTGTGTGGGTGTGTAGTAAAGGGATGATAGGTCTGAGAATGTATTTGTGAGGTACTGAATCTAAGACTGTCCATGGTATACATGTGTGGAAACATCCCATCATAGGCCTTCCATTTGTACATTTATTGAGTCCACGAAAACTGAATGATCATGCCAGGCAAAATGAATGGTGGGTGTAAGTCCTATAGGAAAGAGTAGGCGCAGAGACAAGCGGAGATCCCGGTGCTGGGACATCAAACCTATAAGGGGGTCAGGAAGTGTTTGGTGATTGTGTCATGCTGAAAGCCCTGGCTCTGGTGGATGTGGACTGATTTGGATGGAACCAAAGGGGAAAGCACCATCAGATTGGAGGGAAGAGGTAGGTGGCTGGAGAGTGCCATTTGCTGGATGAGGCAGGTTTGGGATAGAATAGCACTTTGGTTTTTGTGCTGAGTTTATATTGTGCAATGTTTATATTGATTCAACCGTGGATTCGTTCACTGGTGCTCCAAATTCGGTGTGGTTGTTCACTGTGTGGAAAAAAGCCTTCCAGACATGGAGCAAAATGACACCAGTGGCCAAGCAGTGATCCCAGCAACGGTACAGAGGGCTGTGCTGGGTTATGCTCAGAGTT